TTAAAGTTGTGAAATTACAAAAAATTAAAAAATTGTATTATTTAAATTTATACTTTGTTATATAACTTATTTAAATTAATATTTATAAAGATTAATTTATTTATATTAATACTTTATGATGTAATTTTATTTAAAATAAATTTAAGATACAAAAATTATTATAATGTATATTTTAAAAAGTTAATAATTTTATTTAAAATAATTTTTTATGTTCTTTTATCATAGAAATTTTATTTTATTTTCTTTTAATGTTTAGGTTAGTGAAATAAATATTACTATTAAAGTGGAAAAAAAATTGTCAAAAAATAAAAATAACATTTTCTAATAATATTTTGAATTTTTTTAAAATATTTTAGTTTTTAGTTAAAATTAGGATAATGTTTTTAATAATATCTTAAACTGGCCATAATTAAATTTTTTTATATATAGTTGATGGTTATACGATCAATAATATCTCATTTATATATTTATTTAAAAAATATTTATTTACGTGGTTTTAATACGATGTTGGTAATGAAAACCGTTGTGGTTTAATCTCAACCATAAGTTTCGTTTTAATGATTAATACTACCCTTTTAATATCTTGTAATAAATTTTTAGCTTAAGTTAGTTAAGTTAATTTAAGTAGTATAAATTCATAATTTTTAAATAAAATTTCAATAATTATCATTATTTTGGTAAGTATGGAATAATTAAAAGTTGAGATCAAATGTAGTTTATATATACTATGTTTTTTTAATATACTAATCCGTCTCTTAAAGATAAAAATATGATAGATTAAAGTTTTAAAGCAGACAATACCTCAGACGTGATAATTGACTCTAAAAATGTTATTACAGTAGAATAAATTCAAGATACTAATTGTTTCTATATACAATAGTGACGTCCAGCGTGAGATCTAAAGTTATCATTTCTAAATAAACTTAATTCGATAAACTGATTCAAAATATTTGACAAATAAGTTAGATTAAATAAAAAAAAATTGGTCTATTTTTGTTTGACTAATTTAGATAGTAATCTACATGGACTTAGGTTAGACTATTCCATAGACGTAGATGTATAGACGAGACTAATTTTATAAAATAATTATTATTTTTAAATAGAAATAATATTATTTATTAAAAAATATATGTATTATAAATAACTTTATAAGGGATTCAAATAATTTAAGAACTAATATCAAAACAAGTCTCTAACAATTACTTATTTGAAGATCTAATAATTAAGATTAATTCTTATTTTAGATTAATAAACTACTAAAAAATAAATGATAATAACAAATAATAAGTTTTTAACTCGTATTTTGACATTGAATGATCAATTTTCTAATAATTTTTATATTAAATCATTATATAATAAATAAAAACTAATTTTATTAATATAATTTAAATTTTTAAAAATATTTTTTTATTTTGTATTTAAATATTTATTTTTACCACATTCGAAGTATTATCTATTTTGAACTCTAATCCATTATTATTTTGTTCTTAAGCGAGAGGGTGCATATAAACTATTATTAGCCTCGACTCCTAAGCAATCTGAGACTCATGAACATAGTCCCTTAATTAAGGACAAAATGGTAGAAGTTGAGCAAGATTCTACTATCAATCTCACCGTGGACGTCAATGTTCCATCTAAGAACAGATAATGTTCCGACCTAATGTTCACTATAATAGCATCTTTAGTATCAATTAACATGTTTGAGATATTGTTCATTTTGAAATTATAGTCTATCACTGTTGTGTCCTTAAAAGACGTATTAGTAGATTAAACTACATTTGATCTGAACTCCTAATTAATATGAGACTCATGAGTGTAGCAAAATATAACTTCCTAGTCGAGTACAAAGGGATAGAAGTGAAGCGAGACTATACACTAAGTAAAACTATCAAAACAAGGTTGATCCTACTACAAAATAAAAAAAATGATGGTTCAATTTGATCAATATTCTAAAATAAATCATAATTTTTAATTTAATCTATTTATATATTAGGCTTACCAGTTAAGAAACTAATTTTCATCTTATTAAAAATTTTAAAAAATTTAATAAATCTAAGTTATAAAAAAAATTGTTATTTTTATGGAACAATAAAAATAAGTTTTATCATATAATTGTTTTAAAATAACACACGCGTAAAAATATTTTTTGTTAATTTTTTCATAAAAATTTAACACAATGCAGTTTTTTTTAGTGTGTATTATAGACAAATGCCCTTATATTAATGAACTACACATGGTTACAAATTTGTTTCTTTTAATTCGAAATTTTTATTACTTTTTAAAATATTATCTCTAATATAAATTAAATATGATATAAATTTTTTTCCTTAATGTAATAAGCTTGCTTCTGTTGTGAAGTTTTTTTTTTCTTGGATAGTTCGTTGATACGGGAGGTGTTAATGGTGTTTTTGTTAAGAAAAACTAAACAAAAAGCTAGATATGTGAACTGGAAGAAAAGGGTGGTGAGAATAGCATAAGCCTAATAGTTCCGATTGGTTTGAATTGGCCACGCCCAATCTGACCCATTTTGTAAAATGCATTTTATTTTTTGACATATGAGATTGTTATTTGGAAATGTGGACACATATATAAGTGCGGTTTATTTGTTCGGCAAATTTGTAGGAAAATCAAGTTTAGATTTCAACTTTCAACATCCTTGTCTAAAGTAACATTTAGCAAATTTATTCTGTTAATTTATTATTTTAATATCTCAACTCATATAAAATGGGAGATCAATTAACACTATATATAGTTATTGTTAGATTTATTTAATTTAATAATTAGTTCCATATATTATATTTTAATAATGAAATTAATTAGCACATACTTAAAAAAAATGATGTTATGGAATGCTAAATTAAATTGAATTTACAAAACACATTGCATACACTACATTAGAAAGAAAACATTGATTATTTAAAATTTTATAAAAAAAAAGCACGTAATATTTTTTTTATACCTCTATTTAAAGAACACGTTTTTTTTAATTATAAAATAAACTGACATGCGTTTGTGACAAGAGTTAATTTTCATACATATTCAATGTAAATAAATAAATAATTTCTTTACATGTCATATTATTAAAATCAATAAATTAATCGTGATGAAATAATAATATAAAATATTTATTCTTTTAATACATGAATAACTTCAAATTAATTTATATATAAACTATTTAGTATTTATTTATGTGTGATATATAATTAATCGAGATATTTATTTATATTCATATATTATTTTATCAGAATACATTTAAAGGGAACTATTAATAAGAGTGAATTATGAATAAAAATAAATATTTTATTATGAATTCTACGTTTAAGTTACTTAAAATTAGAAAAAATAATTAAAATTAGAAAAAAATTACTTAAAATTTGAATAAAATTATTTATATAAGTAACTATGGCAAAGTTTTAAGTATCTCATGAGTAAAACTTATAATAAAATATTTAATTTTATTTTTAAGTAATTCTTACTAAGAACTCTCTGTAGAGATGTCCTAAAATGTTTGATATTTCTTTTATTCAGCACTTAATATATTCTTTTTATACTATATATTTATTGACTTAAACATTAAAAAAATATTTGCAGTTGAATCTCCTCTCCTATTTAACACATATCAGAATAGGTAAGAAGACACATTATAATATGCGATAAACCTTTAAATCTATGTAAGAGCATTTAGTGTTAATCATGAGACTAGGTAAAATTTCTCCTATACCACAACTTAAAGTTTTGACAAGACAATCATCAAGCTTAATACTTCTGAATATGAATGCAAACACTATTATTACTAGTTTTAAAGTATATTGTAGAAACACAACAACAAACAAACGCATACCTTTAGGCTAACTTTACCATCTTGTGTGATAATGATGATCATATACGTTGTTGGAAAATCTAACGTGAGTCTGAGTAAGAATAAGAAAATTGACTAGCATATAAGAAATAAAGACTCATAATCTAATGTCTTAAATGATTTAGGTTGAAAGTGGTGTCAATCTCTTATGTGAGTTAGACTCATATTTTATTGGTGTTGTCTTTTCTCAGTAAATCTCCCTCCAAAGACCCAACGACAATGGGTCAAGTAAACGTATTTTATTAGAGTGAACGATGGTGCAGAATTACTAGTGAATCTTAAAGTTTTTGATTGAGTAAGCATGTTCCACTAAAGTGAACAATGATAGATAAAATTGTTACAAGTAAGTTCAAAGGAGTGATAAATCTCCCCTTAAAAGATCTAACATATAAATCATATTCTTGACTACTCGAAAAATAATGCGAATATGATATTATACCATAACAATATTATCATATCCAAGAAAACTGAGAACACTTTCATTCGTTCAATTGCTAAACATAATATTGCATAAATTATTTCAAATTACTATTTACATAAATCTCATTATTTCCGGCTTTTAATAGCCAAGTTAATCAATGAAATATAAATTATTGCCTCTCCAACTAATTGTGTTTAAGAAGCGAGCCATGATTTTTAAGACAAAAATTTTCAAATACCAAACACAGCACTTATTATTTCTTTTCATATTTATCTTCCTGTCACACTCTCATCACAAATGTTCATCTCTCTTGAATCTCTATACACTTTTATCTGGTGTTTTAAGTGTCCAAATATAATTTTCCTTGAAATGGATATTAATTTGACTGGTACTAGTTAAATACGTGACCAACTGAGCCAACATGAAGTACTCAAATCTGCAAGAAGAGAAAACATCTGAAGAAACAATGATCTTCAAAAAGAGAAGAGCTTTAATATATCATATTTACAAAGAGCAAGCAGCATCATAGTTTTAATAAAACAACATATCCAAACCTTATAACAAGTCTCATATATGGTCACTTTTCATGAACGATTACAGACCTATAAGCGTATATTTTATTTTACACATAAAACATATCTATAGTTCAGAGCTATTATTTATGTAACCTTAATATAGAGAATTCATAGATGTACTTTTAACCATTTCAGAACTTCAACTCTATGGATCATTGACGCTTCCGAGACCTGTGGTAGCAAGTTTGTTGACAAGAGCTAGAGCGTTGCTGGTGATGTAAGACACATTCTGAACCCGGTTTTGCAGTACTTTAACATGTTTCTCATTGTTGTCTTCAAATCCTTCGAGGCAAGTTTCTTCATCAGTGAGGGCTGCACTGATCCACGTGTTGAGATCCCCCATTTGGGTGCTAAACGTGGTTTTGCTTAGTCTCCTAAGCACACCAAGAGATCTGTGAAGCTCATCAAGGGCATAGGAAAAGGATTCAACACAGTCTGAAACGGCAACTTTGTTTCTTCCCTTCATGTGTCCATGCCTCTTCAATTCTGCAAGATAGGATTTAACATTCTTAACCTCCCCTATTGATACTGACACTCCCGCACGTGCCCACTTGCTAGGGCTTCTTCCAGCAGTGTTGGAGAAAGGTGATAGAGAGTGAACACAAAGGCTTTGGAACCTTGTCACACTGCAAGCCTCTCTAACATTGTCCTTCCCTTTTGCAGATACCATTTGGCCCGTGTTTGTTAGGAGTGAAAGAAACAATGCAAACAGAAACATAGGGAGTGGTATAACAATCATTTTGGGATGCCAATTTGAAGGAAGAAAAAAAGAAGGTAAATGTGGTGATGAAGTTGGGTACTAATTAAGAACACAAGGGTGTCAAGAAATGTGGTGATATGATATAATATCAGAGAAGTGTGAGATTTGGCTTTGAAGGTTGAGTTTTTAAAAGCAGCATGTTATGATTCACTTTATGGACCTTTTTGTAGATAGAACTGTTGCATAGGCATGAGGCTAGTGAGTGCAATTAAGAAAAGGGATATGGATGGTGAACTGAGATATAGGGGAAAAGTTAGGAACATGTGAACAGAAAGTGAGTTTCGCATTGTCTCGATACGAATAACCCAACAATTATGCTCCATTTTTCTATTCTTGTGAAGGCTCATTGTTTCTATGTTGATTCATCTTACAATGATTAGAGATAATTAATGTCTATAACAATGAATTTCTTCAAACAAAAGACCAAAACTAAAAGAGAAGTTAAAAACTTAACCAAAACATAGAGATATCTACGATTTGTAGTTGTATAGACCACTATTTTCACATGTTATTCTCACTTAGAGGGACAAAATTTGATTTTATATATGCACATCATTTGCATAAATTTATATATATATATATATATATAATTATTTCATTTATATTAAATAATAAATATATTACTTAATTAAATTACATAATATATATATATATATATATGTATATATATTATGTTTAGTATTAAACTACAATAATTAAGGATATAGAGTAAAAATAATAGTTAAATTACAATTTTAAACTTATAAATATTTTTTAAAGGGATAAAAAGTATACATAATTATATTTACAAGGATTAAAAATATATTTAAATCTTTAAAAAAATGATATATACTGTATTAAGTTGCAAAATTTAAATTACAATGAATTAAATTCAAGTTTATCTAACTAAAACAAAATTGTTGAACATCAATTTTTGCATGTTTGTTGAACAAAAATATGGCAAGCTAAAAGATCCAATGATGAAGGTCAAAAGGGTAATAGTAACCTTCTGTTATATGGTGTGCATGCATGTTAAATACAAGGTCAGGGGCACAAGGAATCCATCACAGTTCTAAGACATGTAACATGCTGCAATGTCAAACTCTATATCTAATCTAACTCTCACAACTCAATCAAACCAGACCAATTTTAATAAATAGGTGACCTACAACTGTCTCTGTTATTACCAATTTTATCATTTTGAGAAATAAATTTTTTTTTTTTCTAAATTTGTTTACAATTTATCAACTTGCAAAGTCATAATTTGCTATAAATCAATTATTTTTTTATCATTAATCCGAACATAAACTTAAAACAACATTGCTATATAAAAATAATAATGCGTATAAAGGGTAAGTTCCGAGTTAATTTTTATTATTCATATATTTTAGTTAAGTTGAAATTTAGTAATTTAATTTAAAAAAAAAATAACAGTGAGGGCGAAGGGAGATGGTGGTAGTTTGGTAATTTAGGTTTGGAAGAAAGCGAAGAGGGGGGGTTTGAAGTTGGAGGAAGCACTGAGATCAGAGGAGGAATTGGGTATAGAAAGAATCAGGGAAAGAGAGAGAGATATGGCGTCGGGGTGGGGAATTACAGGCAACAAGGGTCGCTGTTACGATTTCTGGATGGATTTCAGCGAATGCATGTCTCGCTGCCGAGAGCCCAAGGACTGTGCTCTTCTCCGCGAAGACTACCTCGAGTGCCTCCACCATTCCAAAGAGGTTTCTTCCCCATCCCGTCCCTTTTTTTCATTCCCCGTTCGTTTATCGCATTCGCATCCTTCCTTTTATTGAAACCCTAATTCGTACTTATTTGCATTCCTCCCGTTTACGAACCCTATCGATTTCCATTGCGCGACTTCTCATCTCATTTCTCTTTTGTTTTACTTAGATCGCCTTTTGTGGTTTCGTCCAGTGTTTGTGATCTTGTATTGTTGTTGATTCATTAATTATGTTGGACGTAAGAGACGGCTGTAGAAGTGTCTAATCTAAAATTGAATTTGCAAGTTCCCCGCTTGCATCACATCGGAAAATGAAGATGAATGTGGCGTTTAAGAATTGTGAATAATATGATGAAAAAGGAACTGGGTTTTTATACTGTTAAAAGAGAATTCATTTTAATAATTGAATAAGCCCTCTTTATATTGTAAGGTGAAATGCAGGTGATTAAATTGGCCACTGTTACTGTTATAACCTTTTGATAGCTGGTGCAGTTGTGGAATATGATTTTACTGCTGCGACATTAACAAAAAATAAATAAAATAAAAAAATCTTTTAGCTCTGCGGTCGGAATTGATCTAAAACTAGTAAGATCTTTCATTTTTTTTTCCTTTATAATTTGTTGCGTATAAGTGAAGTGCAAAGACATTTGTTTATGTTTGAGAAAACATATCCATTCAATAAGTTACACATAAGAGACACAGTATATCTTTGTTGCTATTTTTTTATTTTTGTATATGTTATCTAGTAGCACTTTAACAAATCAACTAATTGAGCAATGTGAGAATGGGATTGATACTGTGAAAGGACTTATAATTTCTAGTAAATGTATAATACATGCAATTTCTTCATGCACTGCTAATTGCATTCCATCCATTCTCTTCCTGTGTGCATTTTGGCCTCTCCCAATTGATACGTAGAGTCAAGTATGGGTACTGGGTAGTGTTATGTCCTTATTCTCTGCCCCCTGCTTCAATTCAAATTTTGTATATTATGCTATTAACGTATTCCTATCGTATTTTGATTTGATGTTAATATGAAACTTTTTGAGTGGCCTTGACAATTTCAACATATGACCTTTTTTAAGTTTTGATTGGCCTTTTCCTTGCAGTAATCACATTTTAATCTACATTCTATTTCGGTCTTGGAATTCCCAATGAATTATATAAACAAAACACTGGGATTGTGCTGATTACTTGAGATTCACTGATTATATTTGTGTTTCTTTTTGTTGACAACCATGTGCTTCTTTTGTTGCCAGTGACCAAAAGTATTTGTTGCATAACAGAATCTGGTCATAGGTTGTGATCTTTGAATACAGCTAGACTTCAAATATTTGATTAGACAGTTAGCCTTTTAAGTTCTAAACTTAATTCCTTCTCTTGCTTTCACATCATATTTTATCTGTGTATCTATCATTTGTAGCTCATGTGGTGGTTATACTTAATTAACAATGGATAATGGGATATCAGTTGTTAGCTATTTGGCTTAACTGAATGGCTTAAAATTATTCATAGACCCTTTTATATAGTCAAGACACAACTCTGAGAATGTAAAATCCTGTCCTTTGGTTGACTGACAATATTATGGTGGTTAATCTTAGAGTTTTGATGTTAATATAGTACAGGGCTATTTAATTATTACTCTATAATTTTAAAAACTTTCATGTGGTTGAGGGACTCAAATCCTAATGAACTTTCTGGTGCATGAATTTCAAACTTTTCACAGATTAATCTGTTGAGTCATTATATTCACAATACATGGTGGTAAATCTTTGATGAAAATATTGGCTAAAGAAATCAACAACAGTGATAAAGTTGTGCTTTTATATTGCTGCTGTTATCTGTTTAAACCCTTTAACCAATGTAGTCAAGCATATCATTTTGTATGGTTTAATCTAGTAATCAGATACTGTGTTATAATCTTGTGTAAGTTAACTGTTATAATCACATCCCAACAACATGGCTATGTAATTTGAGAAAAAGGGAATCTTAAGTAATCGCTTTAGGCCAGAAATATCAAAAAGGGACTTCCTGCATATCTTGGGGAGGTAAGTCACAAACTTAGCCACCTACAAAGCTTTGAAGGTTAGGGGTATCTGTAGAACACATCGGATATTGAATGCTCTGGATAGGTCTCCAGAATCATCGAGGGAACCTAAACCGGAACAATACTCTTGGGAGAAATTTGATTTGCTAAAAAATAAAGAATTGGACAACATCAAAACTTGTGTCAAGTTTGCATTCTAACACAGCCATGGGACATAAACAAAGCAAAGATGAATCACAATACTAAAGTGTAAGATTTTTTATTATATAAACCGTGGGAACTTGTGCCACACACATTACCCTTCAAAATTAAGAAACAATTCCCAACCTGTTTTTCCTTGAGGCCCTTTCAGACGTTGTCCTCTGTACTTTCATCCTCTGATCTCCCTAAAACTTGTATCTGCTATGCATTGACCACCAAATGGAAAAAATAGAACCAAAAGTAAAAAACTTGTGTTGTAACTGAAGTTTTTGTATTTTACTTTCTATATTGCCCCTCGTTGCATTAAAAGCATGCCCATCAATATTTTATCCTTTTATATAAAAGAAAAAACTTATGTAATGTTTACTTGGGAGCAGTGAAGGCAATGCTTCCTGGAAGTTGTATAACTTGTTTGGGAAAGGGTAGTGCAGGATGCTGAAAATGACTAGAGTAAACTTTAATCATCAAAATTCCTTATTACATAGGTATCCTGCCTATAATGTTTTGTCACTGAAACTTACTGTGCTGCCAGTAGTATGTCCTGATATTTATTTAGTTCAACTCTTGAAAGCAACATAGAATGCCATATTATAAAAAAAAATGTTAATTTTTACTTTTCCCAAAAACGTATGGGAATTAACTTCCTTCTTCGTATAAAAGGTTGTTTTACACTCCATGTTAACCTTGTAACGCTGTTGCCTTTGATAGACAAATAAATTACTGTGGTTGATTTTGTTATTTGATGCAGTTTCAACGACGAAACCGGATTTACAAGGAGGAGCAGCGCAAAATAAGGGCTGCTGCCAGGAAAGGCAAGGATGATGGGGTTGTTAATGAACATCATTAGCACCCGTTGTCCAGATTTTCAATTTAACCTTTTGAACAATTATTTTGTTAAAACGTTTGTAATTTGCTTGGATCACTGTTCCTGCGTCTTCTGTCAGCCCATATTTTATACTTTTTGACTTTGCGGGCTACTTTTCCCTATGCAATAATTTAGAGGTCAACTTGGGACTGCAAGATAGACTAAATGTTTGCTGAGTCAATTTGGTAAATGTCTTTTCAATTGCAAACATGCTGGCTTGAAAGTATTGAAATCCACGAAATGAAAAATAACACCGGTTTAAATTTTATTTGGCTTTGCCTGATCAAATGTTGCCTTCTCTTTCCTCCTTTCTGGTGGATAGTAGCTACCCAACGCTTAATTTTATCTGTGTAAAATCCTTTATTTATTTCTTCATTTCTGTTTATTCGGTCAACACATAATTTCATTTTAAATTCAGTCTCATTTATTTTCCTTTTTTTTATTTTCTTTATTTATTCCTTCTTATTTCATCTTCTATGAAAACAAACTACAAGATAAAATCTTCTTAGGCTTTATATTATCGTCACTAAAGACTCTACTTAGTAACCAGTATTAATTGGCACAGGTAGTTGTGACTTAGTAAAAGATATTGCTAATAATTAACAATGCATGCGATTTTACTTAAGTATCTAGACCTATCATTCACTATCAGAGAAAAGTGAGTTAATAATGTATAAGCACATCCTTAAGAAAACCATGATACAAATTTTATGTAAGCTTTAACAAAAAAAAAATTACAAAATAACTTGTGAAAAAGTAATTAATTCTACATATAGAGAAGATTATGCTATATATGAAATTATATTATAATTATGTCACAAACGCTCTTTTCAATTGATGTTAAAAATTAATTCATTTTAGTTAAAGTAATTATGATCTTATGGATAAATTATTATTTATTTTTCTATATTTTTTTATTATAGAGAATTGAAAACTTGAGGATATCAAATGAAGGAAGTAATCACTTTATGCTCTTGTTTAACAGCTAAATGTGTTGTTCAACTTAAGAAAATTCTCTCTTAAATGAAAATGAAGAATTTTATAATGATTACATCATTTACTTTCGTCCAGTGAAAAACTAGCTTCTTCGTCCTATCAAACTTTAAATTTTTCATTTTTTTCATTCTCTATGTTCTAATGTTATGTAGTAGTTAATTTATTTTTTATAAGGGTTAAATGTAACGAATATTAACTACATATAATTTATCCATCTCAATATATGTTAGCGTTCTATTTCTTTTCATGTTGCATATTTAATTATCTATTTCTTTCCACTGAAAAATAATTAGATCTTTGATTTAAATATTGAAAACTTTAAGATTTTATATCAAAATGATATATTATCCTTTTGTCATTCTTATAACACTTATCTTAAAATAAAACTTAAAAAAAAAAAAGAGTATGCAACTTTGTTTTTAAGGAAACAAATTTGAGGTAAATTTACATTAGTACAATAGTGTACAAAAATTATTTGAATGAAAGATTATATACAAATGGCACATGCAATTCCATCAAAAAATACTTTTATGTATCAATTACAAGTTTCGAAAAATCTATTTATCAAACTAATTTCCAATTTTCTACATAATCTTGCAAAAGCTTAACTAAAAGATTATTCATAATTTTTCTTTGTTGGAAAAAAAAAAAAAAAAAATAATAATAATCCTGATTTTGATTTTAACGATCAAACATAAACGTAATCCCATACTGATAAACATGTTGTAAACTGAATGCGAAAGCGTACCTGAATTAGCCATAATGATGATGTCTTTGTAGAGCACTATATTGATCTTATGGTCTTCCACCTGAAGAGCACCTGTATTTCCCTCTTGATTTTCTCTCTTGATGGGGATTGAAAGAAAGGAACGAGATTGATGCTTACGTTCTATGTGTGCTCCCAGAAGGGGACCATGACCCTTTAGATAACCAGAATTAGGTTAATTACTTAAGTTTTAATATTTCCAATTTGGCCCCTCATCAAATTAGAAATTGTTCTATGGTCTCTACACAATTTTATTTTCATGACATATGTCTTTAGCCAAAACTTTAATTTAGTCAGATCACTTTATTATTTGGCTTAATAAATAATGGCCATAACACATTTAAATTATGTATCATATATATACATGACCCAAATTTTGCCAACAATCTCCTACTGGTCACAAATATATATGTCCTTACAACCTTACAAATGTGTTAGACTTTATGAGCTCAAAATTGCCATTATATTCCTTTAGCATACTCCAAAAGTCCTGTCCATTAATCATATCAAGATATAGAACTAAACCAGCTTTTCATTGCATCATCGCAATTAAAACCAACAATGATTACTCATCCTAACATAACCAAATGACATGGATTCATCATGAAATGTGTAGCATGAAAAATTACGTGAAGGTGATTTGTACACGTCTATTTTCAACTGGTCCAAACTTTAACTTATCGAGATCGATATAATATCCTTAATGTACAAAGTGTACTGAATGAACGAAAAAACTGCATATCTATAGATAACCAAATATGTCCAAAAATCAATGTATACATATATGAAATTAAACATAGAACATAGAATATATGAAAGTGACCAACTCCCACTAAACCACAAATTCCTCAGACTGTAAAACACCCATGTGAGCAACATGCTCATGAAAGACCTTGGGCGGAAGTCCTTTAGTTAGAGGATATGTTATCATGGAGTTTGTCCTTAAGCGTTCTATGGAAATCTGTCCACTTTGTACTCTTTCCTTAACAATACAACTGATTTATTGTCACAATATAACTTAAGTGGTCTTTCAATGCCTTTCACAATTTGCAGCCCTATGACAAAATTTCTCAGCCATATTCCATGATTTGATGCCTCATAACATGCTACAAATTCTTGACATCCTGCAAAATCTGAGTCAGAAAATCCAGCGATCTCCAACTGGTCTGACTTCCTGTATGTGAGCATATAATCTTTTGTTCTCTTTAAATATCTTATGACCCTTTTTGCTGCTTTCCAATGGTCCATTCTTGGATTGCTTAAATATCTGCCTAGAACCCCAACTATATATGCTATGTCTGGATGCGTACATACTTGGGCATAGATCAAACTCCCTACAATTGATACATAGGGAATCTTTTGCATTTCCTCAATTTCCAAATTTCCCTTTGGGCACTAATTGAGACTAAACTTGTCTCCCTTTAAACTTGTGATACACACAATCATCAACAATATTCATCTTAAAGCCAAATGAGTTTCATACCTTCTAGTAATGGGACAAGTTCTCAATAACCTTATTGTCTTGCATGGACTTATACTTATCCTATTGCTTCAATCCACTTTTGAGAGTTAGAACCTTGTATAGCTTGACGGAAGTTAACTGGGTCATCTTCCATTATATCATTATTTTCCTCATGTTCCTGAAGAAATACCATGTAATCATCCGAAATAGCACTTCTTCTTTCTCTAGTGGATCTCTGCAAAGTTATTAGCTCATGATGCACAGGTTCTTGAGGATCTTGAGTTTGTTCTTCATGAACAATCAAATCATCTTGAGTGAGGGGTTCATCAACAATGCCTTTTGGAGGTTCCGAACTTACTTGATCAAAAGTAACTATTTGAATCGGTTCTGAAATTGTTACCGATTCTTCCTGCAAGATGAAGTTCTTAATCTTATTCTTCCCCCCAAACTCAATATCTTCAAAGAACGTAGCAGTTCCCGTCTCAAAAATTGTCTTTAATGTGGGATCATAAAATTTATATCCCCTGGATCTTTTAGCATAACCAATAAAATAACTACTTACTGTTCAGGAGTCTAATTTCTTTTCATTTGGCTTGTAAGGTCTTGCCTCAGCTGGACAATCCCACACATGGAAATGCTTCAGACTAAGTTGTCGCTCAATCCAAAGCTCATAAGGTGTTTTGGTAGCTGCTTTAGTTGGTACTATGTTTAGAATATAAGTTGTCGTATTTAATGTCTCTCCCCAAAGTGATTCCGGTAAGGTGGAATGAAAAATCATACTCTTTACCATATCCTTAAGAGTGTAACACAAGCTCAAACGTCATGATTCGATTGTGACCTAAGCACTTATGCCATAATGCACCTGACCACTTTTGAGAGTTAGAACCTTGTATAGCTTGACGGAAGTTAACTGGGTCATCTTCCATTATATCATTATTTTCCTCATGTTCCTGAAGAAATACCATGTAATCATCCGAAATAGCACTTCTTCTTTCTCTAGTGGATCTCTGCAAAGTTATTAGCTCATGATGCACAGGTTCTTGAGGATCTTGAGTTTGTTCTTCATGAACAATCAAATCATCTTGAGTGAGGGGTTCATCAACAATGCCTTTTGGAGGTTCCGAACTTACTTGATCAAAAGTAACTATTTGAATCGGTTCTGAAATTGTTACCGATTCTTCCTGCAAGATGAAGTTCTTAATCTTATTCTTCCCCCCAAACTCAATATCTTCAAAGAACGTAGCAGTTCCCGTCTCAAAAATTGTCTTTAATGTGGGATCATAAAATTTATATCCCCTGGATCTTTTAGCATAACCAATAAAATAACTACTTACTGTTCAGGAGTCTAATTTCTTTTCATTTGGCTTGTAAGGTCTTGCCTCAGCTGGACAATCCCACACATAGAAATGCTTCAGACTAAGTTGTCGCTCAATCCAAAGCTCATAAGGTGTTTTGGTAGCTGCTTTAGTTGGTACTATGTTTAGAATATAAGTTGTCGTATTTAATGTCTCTCCCCAAAGTGATTCCGGTAAGGTGGAATGAAAAATCATACTCTTTACCATATCCTTAAGAGTGTAACACAAGCTCAAACGTCATGATTCGATTGTGACATAAGCACTTATGCCATAATGCACCTGACCACTTTTGAGAGTTAGAACCTTGTATAGCTTGACGGAAGTTAACTGGGTCATCTTCCATTATATCATTATTTTCCTCATGTTCCTGAAGAAATACCATGTAATCATCCGAAATAGCACTTCTTCTTTCTCTAGTGGATCTCTGCAAAGTTATTAGCTCATGATGCACAGGTTCTTGAGGATCTTGAGTTTGTTCTTCATGAACAATCAAATCATCTTGAGTGAGGGGTTCATCAACAATGCCTTTTGGAGGTTCCGAACTTACTTGATCAAAAGTAACTATTTGAATCGGTTCTGAAATTGTTACCGATTCTTCCTGCAAGATGAAGTTCTTAATCTTATTCTTCCCCCCAAACTCAATATCTTCAAAGAACGTAGCAGTTCCCGTCTCAAAAATTGTCTTTAATGTGGGATCATAAAATTTATATCCCCTGGATCTTTTAGCATAACCAATAAAATAACTACTTACTGTTCAGGAGTCTAATTTCTTTTCATTTGGCTTGTAAGGTCTTGCCTCAGCTGGACAATCCCACACATGGAAATGCTTCAGACTAAGTTGTCGCTCAATCCAAAGCTCATAAGGTGTTTTGGTAGCTGCTTTAGTTGGTACTATGTTTAGAATATAAGTTGTCGTATTTAATGTCTCTCCCCAAAGTGATTCCGGTAAGGTGGAATGAAAAATCATACTCTTTATCATATCCTTAAGAGTGTAACACAAGCTCAAACGTCATGATTCGATTGTGACCTAAGCACTTATGCCATAATGCACCTGAGTGAGTATTTTCAATTTTACGTTTAGTACCACGTGATTCTATATTAAGGGTTTCATTATAGGTGACCACAATATCAAGTAAATACTGATTATCATAAATCAAAAGTGAACCAATTCCAAAAATATCTGAATTAAAAGACAAACGGAACTTATTGTTTCCAAATGAACACAAATAACCTAATTTGTCCAAATAAGAAACTGAAACCAAATTCCTTCTAAATGACGGCACAACAAAAGTGTCTTTCAAATCCAAATAAAAAGCAGTACTTAATAACAATTTAAAATGCCCTATAGCTTCCACCTCTACCGATTTGCCATCTCCAGCATAAATCCATCTTTCAGAATCAATTGAGTTCCGGTAGTTTAGGCAACCCTTTCTTTTCACGCCAAGCATGATATTTAGCACATTTCTTCTTTACGTGTCCAGTCTTATTGCAAAAGAAACATTTGTTTTCTTGAGTTTGTTTCTTTTGTTCTGGACCCTTAGCACCTTCTTTTTCGAGATCCTCTGATCTCTTTCTTTTGCCCTTAGCCTTGGAGGTGCTTACAAAATAAGCACTTTCTGTCTTGTCTTGCTTTAGTCTTTCCTCTTCTTGTACGCAATCTGAAATGAGCTCATTAAGAGACCATTTATCCTTCTGACAGTTGTAAGATACCTTAAATTGATTAAACATTGCAGGAAGAGAAATCAACACCAAATGAATGAACAAGTCTTCTCAGAGTTCAAACTTTAGTGTCTTGAGTTTAAAAACAATATTAAACATGCTCATAATGTACTCCCTGATATTTCCTTTGCCTTGATATTTCATGGAGATCAAGTTCTGAAGAAGAGTGCTTGCCTCCGCCTTATCGCTTTTTTTGCAAAGCGCTGCTCAATTTCAGCAAGGAATTCTTTGGCACTTGTGATGTTTTCAGAAATAGTGCCCCTAAACGCCTCCAGGATGCCACGCTTAATGATCATTAGACTCATGCGATTTGAGCGATCCCATTTCTCATAATCTCTTTTCTGTTCAGAGGTACTTGAATCCGTAGGAGTAGGGGGTTGCTCAGTCCTTAACGCAAGATCCATATCCATGCAACCAAGAACAATAATAATGTTCTCTTTCCAGTCCTTAAAATTTGTTCAATTGAGGACCAGAACAGAATTTAAATTGGCAGATACAAAAGTAATTGTAGCTGAATTTAGAACACGAGAAATAAACTAATTATGCTCACATTATATAAAAAATAAATAATATATATTCAAATAGTGGTTTAACCCATCTCAAGATACCTAATGCACCATCAATATCAAGTCTTTGGACAGTAATATTAACTGCTAGAGGTATCTTGTTGTAATAATCAAACATTGACAATAAAGCACGTCCAACAACAAACCAGTCTTTGGATTGATTTATCATCGACAAAGCAAATCCTTATAATTATCACATGTTTATCATTACAAGTGTGTATGCAATTCGGCCAAATATTAATCTTCCTTTGGGCCGACTAATACTCGCATGAATATACACAAACACTAACATTCAACATTTTTCATGAACTGCCCATTTCAAGAGAAGTTACTTTGGTGACTTCTTGACTCAATTTGCTCACAAAAAATATTAAACTACAAAAAATTGAATATTTTATTTATATAACAAAACCAAATATTTAATATTTGCAAACTAATTCAAAAGAGAATCATCTCATTAGAATTCTATTAAGGATGAACACCTCCCTAAAATCTCATTAGGGATGAACACCTCATTTGAATAAATCAAAGGATGAAAAAATGCCTCATTTTCCACCAATACATAAAGGATGAACATCTCTCTAAAATCACACTAGGGATGAAACAGAGATAGTTCTGAGTCTCTTTAGCATACTGCTTTAAACCCTAAAAGGGAATTAAACAGTAATCACTCAAACCCTAATTTAACATCAAATTTTCCTTAAATTCCTAGGGGATAGAGGCAATAAAATAATAACAACCACACATGTGGAAACATTCATCAGTTGCCTAAGATCCTCTATGTTGGGAATTCCCCAAACACCACTCCCACTCCAAACCCATAAAATTAAATAAAAACAAAAGATTCAAAAAAGAACAGAGAACCCAATACAAAAAAAATTGAAATTTGAAAGACTGTTCCTTTTTCAGTAAAACTTGAAACTTAAGCTGAAACAAAAGGGAAAAACGAAGAAGAAGAAGAATCCATAGCTTCCTCCACGGTTCCATCAGCAAGCAGAATCAGATTGAGGATGTTACCCCCAAATTTAAATTTTAGGGTTCACAAAAATTAGAGATTATCCTCCACTTAGGGTTCATAAAATTGGGTAATTTGAATTGTTTAAAACAAAATTAATCATAATTTTCATAATTAGGGTTCTATAAATTAAATAGACATGAATCAAATATGGGCGGCTCTAATACCAATTGTTGGAAAAAATAATAATAATAATAATAATAATCCTGATTTTGATTCTAACGATCAAACATAAACGTAATCCCATACTGATAAACATGCTTTAAACTGAATGCGAAAGCGTACCTGAATTAGCCATAATGATGATGTCTTTGTAGAGCACTATATTGATCTTATGGTCTTCCACCGAAGAAGCACATGTATTTCCCTCTTGATTTTCTCTCTTGATGAGGATAGAAAGAAAGGAACGAGACTCGATGCTTACGTTCTGTGTGTGCTCCCAGAAGGGGACCATGACCCTTTAGATAAGCAGAATTAGGTTAATTACTTAAATTTTAATATTTCCAATTTAGCCCCTCATCAAATTAGAATTTGCTCTATGGTCTCTACACAATTTTATTTTCATGACATATGTCTTTAGCCAAAACTTTAATTTAGTCAGATCACTTATTATTTGGCTTAATAAATAATGACCCTAACACATTTAAATTATGTATTATATATATACATGACCTAAATTTTGCCAACATTCTTTCTAAAATTTGATGAAAAGGAAAAATCAAGGAATAAAAGACATCATAATAACACATGAAAGTACAAAGGTAGACATAGTGACGTACTGATAAGTTTTTATTTATTTCAACTTAACATGTGTTTATAGAAATCAATGAAAAATGAAAAAAAAAAAAACTAAATTAGTCATATATTTTATAAGTAATGTATTTTTATGAATCAGTATCTTCAACAAATTACATCATCCAGATGAAAAAGTGACTTGCAAATCATGTCGTCCAATGACACATGTAATGTTCTTTCATTAATAATGTTGAAATATTATTTTTTAATTGATTTCTATTTTCACTTTTTCGTATTTTTGTTATGTCTTTGAGTCATTTAACCTCGTAGATATTTTTTTTATTTTTCTTTCAGATTAAATATAAATCCTTTTATTATATGCTATTTTGTGACTTGAACCATCAATACAATTCCCAAATATTATTAAGTTCATGGTTATTCATTACTCAAATTTCCACATAAAGAATAGTTAATGATAGGGATTACTATGGTAAAATTTTTAAAAAATTATGTTTATAAAATATGTGAAAAATAAATTTAGATAGAGAACGATAACTATGTACAGTCTATAATTAAATAAATTTAAATAGTTTTTTTAACATAAACATTCTTACTAATGTTTTAAAGACTATTTTAAAATATAAGAAGAAAATTTGTGATAATTAAATATCCAAAGCAAAGTGAGAATCACGCACGTGTGACGCACAAAACGCATCGTGCGGGCGGGGCTGGTCATTATCTCTCTGGAAGCGTTTTAGTATAAGATGACACAACTTTTCGCATCCGATTTCCCTCTCGTACACTACAATCAAAAACCCTAACCTCCACACCTTTCACCGCAACGCCACCGATTCGCTATCTCTACTAATCGAAGGTGAGTCCCTTTCCGCCAATTGCACACCTCACCGCTTCTTCACTCTCATTTCGTTCTATGCGACCATGAATTTTGATTTTGTTGATCCCTCCTCCATTTTCTGTCATGTTTTTGTTCTATTCCGAATTTTAAATTTCTATCTCAATTACCTTTACTGTGGTTTTTTTGGCTTTACTCGGGTCTTGTATTAGGTACCCGAACTTGTAAAATAACATAAATGTTCACTAATTGTAACACGCATCGCTTATTTCTTATTTTTTTCACGTGTCGCAGAAAAAAAAAAAAAAAAAAGACATGAGCAGACGCTCGAGCAGAACTGTCTACGTTGGAAATCTACCTGGTGATATCCGTGAAAGAGAAGTTGAAGATTTGTTTCTGAAGGTGCGTTGATAAATTATGCTCGTCTTCTGTTTGATCTGAAATGTGGTACTCGCTGTAGGCTGAGGGAGTTGACTTAGACTTCACTGAACAAGGGTTGGGTATGGAAGTGTTAGGGGAATTTACTGAGACTAATGTTACATGTGTTTGGGATTGAAAGTCATCAGCTTGCTAGGACCTATGCCTACATTTATTTTCTTCAGCTATTTGAGGATATTGGTTGGTTGATGTTAATAATCCCCATTTTAGTCCCTGAGATTGTAAGCTATGACTTCGACAGTCACCACTTTGGTCCTTGACTTTGTGTGTTTGGGGCCATCAGCTGCTCTCATGTTGCCAACTTTTCATATCCAATTCACTGTATTGACGGAAAAGCTAATGCAGTTTACTTTTGATGGCTCTACAACCATCTTTTCCAACGGGCAAGCCAACAGGCTGCTTGTAAAATGATATTCACTTGTCTTGAATGATTTTTCCTATGTCAGGATGGCCTATAGCGAGGGTATTGTGAGGTTAAGGGACTAAAGCAATCAGGGGTTGATCATTGCTTACAATTAGATGGGGTCAACATTATAGTATAATATTGGTTTCTAATTGCATTAAGATACTAAAATGCAATTTTCTATGTTGTATGTTGGATGTGTGCTGTATATCTGATTGTTGATGATTTTCTGTTGAATACTTTATATAATTAATGTTGTGTGGAAGTGTTGATTTTCACTCTCTTTCATAATTGTGAGGTTTCTTGTTGTTTGTGCATATTATTTCACCTGTAGTATGGACACATAACTCACATTGACCTAAAAGTTCCCCCAAGACCACCTGGTTATGCATTTGTAGAGGTGAGTTTGGAGCCACTAAGTTTGTCATAAATTTCCTTTTTCTTCCCTCCACCCATTATCTTCATTCATAACTGATTATTGCAGTTTGAAGATGCTCAAGATGCTGAAGATGCAATTCGAGGGCGGGATGGCTATGATTTTGATGGGCACCGGTTACGGGTTGGTTATATTTCTTAATTACAAGCTTCAATAATATGATATATTTAACAAATTCTGTCTTCAGAAGTGGAAAAAGAAAGGATAACTTTAAATACCTGAGCAACATGGTTTAACTTTGTATCTTTATAGGTGGAGCCTGCCCATGGTGGACGTGGTCATTCATCCTCAAGAGATCGACACAGCAGTCACAGCAATGGCCGTGCTGGTCGTGGGGTATCCAGGCGCTCTGAATATCGTGGTGTGTATATATTTTGAATATTTATCACTTTTCATAATGCTTTAATGTAGAAATTTTGACCCCTCCACCATAGGCAATTTATGAAGAGAAGCCCTGCCTATGGTGGCTCCATGGGGGGCAAGGCCATGCCTATATGGTGGATTCTTGGTCAGCTGCCATCCATCTGCCATAGATAACCTTGTTTGTTAGTTATATTAGAACTCTTGGTATATTTCTAAATTTTTCGCTCAACCTTATGCAGTTCTAGTTACTGGATTGCCCTCTTCAGCATCCTGGCAAGATCTTAAGGTGAGCTGTTAACAGAGTTATGTTCTATCAGATTAGTTTTGGGGTGTTTATGGATATTGTTTTAAAACAATGGTTTTCATAAATGCAGGACCACATGCGAAAGGCAGGGGATGTTTGCTTTTCCCAAGTTTTTCATGATGGAAGGGGTATGGAACACATGGATGAAGTTTCTGGTTCTTAATTGTGTTAGATTGTTTAAAAGTATTTGTATTTGAACAGCTTTTAAACTGTTGATTTATTTTTTCTGCATCCATATTCCCTTCTTCTTTCTTGGTTCTATTAATGAGAAGTGGCATTTGAGCCTGTATATGGAGTCCTAGAGGTTTTTTTATCTTCCTTATTTTTAAGTTTATATTGTCTGTTGGATTCTTTGATTTAGTATATTATTTGCAGGTACTACTGGTATTGTGGATTACACAAATTATGATGATATGAAATATGCTGTGAGTTATTTATTTGCTATGTTTTGTTTATTTATCTCAAAGTACATCATGCATAACCAGTCATAAGCTTTGCAAATTGTCATCTCTAATCATTGGTATTTTGTTACTACAGATCAAGAAGCTTGATGACTCTGAGTTCCGGAATGCATTTTCCAAGGGCTATGTTCGCGTATGGCTCGGATTTGATGCATTGTAAATTATATATATATATATATATATATATATATATATATATATATATATATATATATATTATGCATGTTATTCTGCTGATATTTTTTCTTTACCTCCATATAGGTGAGGGAATATGATTCTAGGCGGGATTCATCTAGAAGTCCTAGCCGTGGCCCATCTCATTCTAGAGGAAGAAGCTATAGTCGCAGCCGAAGCCGAAGTTACAGTCGGGATCGGAGCCAAAGGTCTATGCATTATGTATTTTAAATAAAAAATCAATTCTTATTTTAATATTCACTGTTAACCTGTTGATCTTTTTCTCAACCAACTTGTTCTTTATGCAGCAAATCTCCAAAGGGTAAATCATCACAGCGATCACCTGCCAAATCTCCATCAAGATCTCCCTCACGATCTCGCTCAAGATCAAAGTCTCGATCATTGTCAGGGTATGAAATGTTTTGAATGTGTAGTCTTTTCTGTCGGAAAACATTTGTCTGGTGACTTATCTTCAATGTATTGTTTTATTGCTAAAATTATTTGGTATCCTGATGCATGGACAGTATGGTTGACCTCCTTGGTCACCTTACTGATGTGTTTAGAGTTTCGTAGCCTCTTCACCAATGTGCAGGGATGAAAAGGGCCCACCAGAAGAGGCATTTTAATGATTGGAAACGGCTAACTTATGGAATTGTGTTTTGGTAATGAATAAAATAGGAATAAATGGAGATCAATTGATGAATCTATTAGATTAAATTCATATGCATCTTATAGCAAATTTCTAGCTTGAATAAACTTAATTTCATTTTATTTGTCCTGGTGAAGTCAGTTGTTTAACAGTTATTTGTGTTGATAGGCATCAAAGACGGGTACTTGCTTCATTTATAAAACATTTTATTAAAATTGAAAGTCAGAGGCTCCTCTTGTAAATAAATTATTTTATTTTTTCTCTATAAATTCGGATTTAATAATGTTTTCCTGACACAAGACTGTTGTCTCCTTCACATTCCCTCCCTCAGTCAATTTTACCCTATCTTGCTTTGTTCGTGCGAAACTTGGTGAAACTTGCCTCAGTGTCAGAGTGTTCTCAGTTTCCATTTTTTGTTTTTGTGAAGATTCCTTTGTTTTCTTAACTCTTAGATATGGAAACATGCAGCATTCTGGAAAATGGAAATTAGGATCATGGTGGGATTTGGTTCAATTGTCTGCAACTCATTTGTTGTGGAGGTATGATATTTTTTAGAATGGGCGACTTTAGATACCTTCACAGTTCATCTGTTCTAATACTTTGAGCATGTAAATGTCCATGGGTGCTAGATTGGGGACCAAGGAGATCATGGATTGCCATATAGAGCTGGATTGTGTATAAAGGCAATTGGGATTTGAAAATCACCTTCAATGAGCAATAGGGACAATTTCATTACAATTGTGGGCTTCAAGATTTGCCAAGCCAATAGGATGCACCATCTGGATTCTCTGGATTTTGTGGTGCAGTAGGGAAGATTTCTTTTCTCACAACAATTGGTGCCTTAATATGTCGCCTTGAGATGGTCTACTTTTATTCACTTTTCATCATTCTATGCATAATGTTACTTTACCTTTTTAGTCTTCTGTGTTAGTCTGTTTTATATTTTGTGATGCTTGTTTTTACCTCCTTGGACATGTTAACTGTGACATGGAAGAGGCATCAAGGCTGTTGGATCAATTTGATAAGGGAACTTGCGGATTTTAAATTCTGTTGTTTGTGGAACTTTTGCAGATCACGGTCCAGGTCCAGATCTCCATTGCCGTCTGTGAGTGAAACTTCTGAACTTCATTGGAACATTAGAATTTAGGATTTAGGGTTTAGAAGAAATTTTTTATATTACTGTGGGGATGGGTATTGTATAGCGTTCTTAGAAAGAGCACATTTTAATGTTTTTAAGCACAGTTTTGGTACACTTTGCAATCTTTTCTCCCTCCCAATTAATGGTGGGTATTGTGTAGTGTTCTTAGAAAACCTATTTTAACGTTTTTAAGTACAATTTTGGTACACTGGGGAATCTTTTTTCCCTTTCCCAATTAATGTTATTCTTTGGCAGCGTAATAAAAGTCCCAAAAGGCGCAGTGCTAGCAGGAGTCCGAGTAGGAGCAGAAGTAGGAGCAAGAGTTTGTCTCGGTCTCTATCTTGAACTCTGACACTTCTCTGCTTCATTTTGTCTATGCGTTCTTTGACTTCGTCAATATAACTTTTATTTCCATGGATATAATTGATCTTGGTTTTGCAGGTGAGCTCTGATTGTTGCAGTCGATGAAGTTGTGGATGTGGTGAGTGCTACCATGTTTTCTAGTAAAATTGACATTAGCCAAGAAAAACACTTATTTGGTTTTATATTTGATATTGGACTTGAGACTTCTGCCTATTGGTGACCTAGTTTTAAATACTAAGGATTTGTCGGACCTTAGATTTCTGTAATAGACTAATTAACGTCTAAAAAATGCACCATTTCTTACATTATTATTATTATTATTATTATTATTTGGTTGAGTTACTTAGACGATATCATATATTGCCAGAACTAAGAATAATATGATTGATTGATTTTTTTCTTGTTCACACTCGGAGAAAGGACCCGAAAGCGCTTCACTATTCTGGTTATTTGTCAAACTTTCAAATTTAACAAGGAATCATAGAAGAAAAAAGTTATTTTAGGTAACTATATGCAGAAGTTCATTGAAATAAATTTTAATAAATCGAGGAAGTTGCTTTTGCTAGTTTTAATCAAATACAAGACTTCTTTAAATTATCCGAATTTCTTGGGATGTTTGTTTTGTCCATTGTTATTTGTTTATATTTCCGGGAAAGACAGGTTGAAAATGAATAGTCATGTCGATATGATAGTACATTTTCTAGTATTTTTATCCTCAGGAGAAGTATGCTTTCACGTTTATAATTGTTTCTATCGTGGGACAATAATCCAAGTTATTGTCTACAACTTTAATTTAACTGCACGCTTAAAACTAATAATTATCAATTGAATATACTTTTAAAGGAATATATTTATTTGGTATAATAATATTCTAAAGTATAATATTCTAAAAGGAATATGATTCTTTGCAATATAAAATCATACAGTGAAAGAAACTCTTAAGTCTCTTTCTCTCCGTCCCGTTTTCCAAGGTCGTGGTCGATTTGAAAATATAACAAGTATGTGTTCTCCAGTTTGAAAATGAAGTGATTGTGATGTACGATAATTTTTAGAGGTATGAGAAATTATAATTTTTAGTTATGTTTTAGATTCTGTTATCCTTTATTTTAATCTGAGTCAAATGGGTTAGCAAATGGTGTAGCTCAAATATGAAAAACTTATGCCTAGATTATCGATATTTATAAGTTTAGGTTAGGGTTCATTTGAATAATTTATTCTACAAATATTTATGAAAAGAATAAAAAATAAAAAAATAAAAAAATAAAATGAGGTTTGAGTGAAAGCAGAATAGATTTTGTTAAGATGTTAAGCGTGTGGAGACGAGGAGGGATTGGCAAATGGAGAGAGAGGGGAAGGACAAGTTGATTGTGAAGTCAAAATAAAAGTGGGGGATGAGTGAATGAGAATGCATCGCTCCTGCTTTGGTTGTTGGCCTGTCCTCCTTCTGTGGTTCTCCTTTTTCTTTATTTCATGTCATGTCTTCTCTTCTCTCTTCTTTCAACACACACTCCTCCGTTACCTCCTTTCATGGACCCCATTCCTCCTTCCATTATTTCTCTTTCTCCCTTCCCTCTCAAATCCATCAACCAAACATAAATGCAACTTAATTCTTCTCTCAACGTGTGTTAAGGATATTCTCAATTTCATTTAACAAATTCTTCTTCACGCTTCAAAACTTCATCTCCTTCCATTTCAATTTTTCTTCTCAAAAGCTTCTCCACACCCACTTACCTGTAGTCCTTGTTTGGATGTTTTTTCTAATGAGAAAGCTTACCAAAGTGATAAAGGTTAAAGAATATAAATTTCAACTATTTATTTTATTTTTAACGGGGTTTCTTATAAATGTCATTTCAATAAATTAAACAATATTTTATGATACAATTCCATTGGAATACCTAAGCTGAATTTGCTTATGCAATTTTCTTGTATAAGCTATTTTGTCTTTTAAAATAATTTGTCATGATGACGAATGTTGAGAAATAAAATATTTCAAGTATTAATATATAAGTTAATAGTAAAATTCATAAAAAAGATCCTAATATTTAAATGAATTTCTTTTTAACATGTTAAAATGTACGTGACGTATAGCATCTACAAAATTAAATTTAAGTGGATACCATATAATAGAAAAGATAAGAAAAGTTAGCTTTAGTAATTTAATAGCATTTACGAGTAACTTATCTTTATATAGTTAATTATGTATTTCATTTTCTTTTTTACTTTGGTTAGCATTTGTCACATGCATGACGTAAAAATATAGTTTAAATTTTAAAAATAACATCTTATAAAGTGAAAAAAGAAACCAATATATTTTGGATTTTTTAAAGGTAAGTTAATATAATGAAAAGTGTTTGATGAGGCAGTATCAGAATATTATTCCGATGTCCATTGTAGGACATACATATAACAAACAGGTTTATGCACATGTGAATATAAGTATAATTAATTAAAATTCAATTTTAAGTTTATCTACTTGCATAATAAAAAAAAGGTATAAATTAAAAGTCAAATACTAATTAGTAAAATAAATAAATAGTTTTAATTACAGAATAAAATATTACATTAAGATTTGTTATTTTAGTTTTTTTATATATAAAGAATTTTTTATGTTTCAAATATATTGGCTAAAATTACTCATACAATATACCTAATTTAATTTTTTATACACGGTTATTTTCTGCTAAGTGGTAATATTCTTAAATTTCAATTTTAAACTTTTTTTAGTACATTTTGAATTTTAAATATGTAAAATCTACAAATTTCAAAAAAAAAATTACAGTAAAATATTAAAAGAAGTTTTTTACCTGACATGAATAATTTTTTTTAATATGAAATACAATAAAAGGAATATCCATTTATACGTTATATAAGAGGAATGCTAACGAGTAGTGCGATACATTTGAACACATCGTTTTTAAGAATTGAATTATTATTTATAAGAAGTTAAATACAAAAATGAATTTACTAAAATTTATATTAATTAATAGTGGAGATTAGAAATGTGTGCTATTAAAAAAATTTCGTTATTTTTTTCATACTGTTTTATGGTTCATTATAAAAATAACGTGGACAGAAGGAATGCCTGAGCTTGTAACATTCTTATTAATATTTTATTTTTGTGGGCAGATATTTTGTATTTTTATAGTTAAAAAGAAGAAAGTAAGGTGACGTAAGTAAATAAAAAAATAGAATTTGAATGGCCTTTTTTGTATGGTCCTGAATCGTGTGGTTTGAGTTGCGTTGTGTGCGATAATTTAATGATGGAATGAAGGGTGAGAAAAGGGCAAATAAAAAAAGAGGGTTTCAGAGAGAAAGAGAAGAAGATGGACAGTAACCAAGACAAAAACGTGTTCTCGGAACTAACCGACGACATCGTTTTGAACATCTTCTACAACCTCGAAGACGATCCTCGCCACTGGGCTCGCTTGGCCTGCGTCTGCACCAAATTCTCTTCCCTCGTCACCGATTTCTGTTGGAAGACCAAATGCTCCCGCACCATCCCCACCGACCTCCTCTCCGCCTCCGACCACCCTCCGCTCTCCCTCCACAAACTCACCGTCTGCTGCCCCGGCCTCCGCCATGCCGGCCTCCTCTTCGACACCTCCGACTTCGGCCTCGAACGCGACCTCGGCCTTGACCTTGCTAATCACTCTTCCCTCTCCTATCCTACACCACCGCCACCACAACCACAACCACAACCGCAACCACAACCTCAATCTCAACAAACAATATCCGAATCGAATTCCTCTTCTTCTTCTTCGTGTTGGTCGCTTTTTGATGACCTCTACTACGACACGCTCTACGTGCCGACGGAATCGGAGACGCCGCGGCTGGCGGAGCCGGTGAGCGCGGGCGTGGTTTCGATTGGCGCGTGCAAGAGGCGGAAGGTGTCCCGCGCGTGGCGGTCGCACCTGGCGTCGGGGAGCTGGAGCCTGAGTCGGGAGCAGGGGAGTAAGCTGTTAGGGAGGCAGTTCCGCGACGATATCCTGTACGTGTGCGACTGGCCGGGGTGCGTGCACAAGGAGGAGAAGAGGAAGTACCGGCTCTTCAGAGGCGTTTTCAAGAACTTCAAACGTACTAGGGTTTGGAGAACCATTCACGACGGCAACAAAAAGAAGCTGGATCTGCCCTGCGCCTTCTGCGCCTGCAAATTCACCTGGGATCTCCACTCGGCCTTCTGCCTCCGCCGCGTATTCGGCTTCCACGACGACGGAGAGCCTGTGGTGAGAGCCTATGTTTGTGAGAATGGACATGTCTCTGGTGCTTGGACCGATGTTCCCATGTACACTTGATTCATTCATTCTCACTACAATTCTCTATTTCATATCTCGTTCAGACTTTGCATTTTACTGCATTTCATTTGTACTTCATTTTATTTTCATCTATCCATCCATCTGTGATTTTCATTTCCATGTTCTTCTAAGAAAGCTTCATATGCTGCTGTAAACACGTTAGTGATTGACATTCGATTATTTTGACTGCTTACATTTCAGATTCCAAATCTTTGCTTGCCAAATTCCTCAGGAAGTATTCTTCTCTTGGCAGATTTCTTTTTCTTTCTCTTCACCATTGCTCAAGTTTCTTCTTTCTCCATTCGCATTAACCATTTTTGTTTGTGTTTTGATCTCAAGTTTTAATTCAGTATTTTATTATATACAAAAACTTATAATATTTCGTAAGTTTCATGTCTTGTCGAAAAAGTTTTATTCATGAATTAGTTTCTCATAAATTTTAATTCATAAAAAGATGTATTAAAAGAAATATGATAAGAAGCATATTACTATACTGATAACATAGAATTTAAGAAGGATTTCATTTCATGTTTATATGCTGACATGCCATGTGTTTTCGTTTTTTTCTTAGAAATACAACACGTATATCGTTGTTGTTGTTAGATTAGATCCCTTTTGCTTTTTCGGTCTCCAATTATTATTTTTCGCATTCATTTTCTAATTTTGCCATTTTAATAATAGAAAAACAATACATTTTTATTTATATCTTTATTCAAACACGGTGATGTCTTTATACTTTTATATTAATAATTTTAGTGTTTAAATTTTTTAAAAACGTAATAATTTATTTATTTTTATCTTTCACAATCATGATAAACACTCACAGATTAGAGATTAAAATAAATAATTTATTTTATACTTCCGAGTTGAATTATAAATTTTTTTGTTAATAATAAAAAAAAAAGCGGACAAGATACCTCCATACACACTCAACCATACATAATAAGGATTTACTGGGAAAGAAAGGGTAGATGATGTGAAAAGCAAGGCGTTTGTGATATTGTTGTCTGATAATCTTGCCACATATCTTCAACTATGATTCATTCATTGAATTCTCTCACCTATTTTTTTACTTACAACATGTGTGCAAAGGACAATCGCACGTCCCTTAACGGTGCTATTATTCTTTCTGAGTTATTTTAGTTTATGATTTTTACTTGGATTGCATTAAGCCACGTCACTTTTTTCTTTTTCAATTTAAGTTAACCAAATTCTTCAGTGCCATCATAGTTTGGGGAGCAAATTTAGTAACTTTGTGGACACAAGTTATCATGCTTTTTTCTTTCTGTTATAGGTCACTACATTGCTTTCTTTGTTGTTTTGGCTTTAAAAAGGAGACCTTTAACTTTGTTATATTTATGTTAATTATTGATTGTATTTTTATGGCATGAGATACAAACCAAAATATGTGAATTAGAAGTGTAATTAAGATAAACTTGATTAGTTTTTAAAAACACTTTTTTGCAATTTTGGGAGAAGTCTCTACTTTTATTGATATGCTTATAGGTTTATAAATTAGCTCGCCCAATAAATTTCTTTATGAATCTTTACAAAGCTTTCAATCAATAAATTATTCAAGTAGCTCATCTTAATTAGGTTATCCTATATATGTGACTTTTGAAGTTGTTTTTTTAAAGTTCAGTAAAATAATAATAAGAAAAACACAGGAAAATAGAGATTGAATTATGTGTTGCATATTTTCAGCACAATAAAGGGTTTTCGTGAGAGAATAACATTTCCTTCAATATTTCTTTTGATAAATATGAGTGTGTTATTGTCCTACACTTTGTATAAAACCGAACCATTTGACGGAGAAGATATATCTTCTCACCTTATGTTTGATACTGACAACATGTTCATTCAGCACAGTTTTCATTGTCGTCAGCTTAACTTAATTGTTTGGAGATCGAAGATAGGAGATGTTTTGGACTCACCCTTCAAAAATCTATCATTTTGTTTTGATTATTATCAAAACTTGTCAAATATATATTTTCCAGCAGAAAAATAGCAATGATAATAACGAAGCTTACAACAATGGAGAACCTTGTCCCTTCAAAACTTTCCAACAACAACAATATTTAAGTGCCTATTTTGTTGAGTAGCAGCAAACTTGTGGCTAATATAGTTTTTCATTTTTTCCTCTTTGAGGTTTGTAGAATTTTTTGTGATTTTTTTTTTTGGAAAATGATGTTTTTGCATCTATGTCTTGTAAAAAAATCCATTTAACAATCAAATATATTAATATAAAAATATTATTTATTATTGTATTAAATTATTTAAGGTTGTTGATTGAGAATAATTAAGTATTTATTTGTTTTTTTGTTTATTTTCTTTTTAAGGTGAGAACAATTCGTACGTACCAATTGCTTGTTTATATATTTCTCTACCATTATCATCTTCACTTCAATTGGTCATAACTATTTTTTGAGTGTTGAATATATATACCTTGGTAGGAAAAGAAAACTATACATATTTTTTGGAGTCTTGTGTGAACTTTTTGTAGGTGTCTCTACGTAATCTTGTTAAACAACACAAATTTAACCTCTTCTACCATCACTTATGTACACCGTTTTTATCATATATTGTTCATCAATTACCACCACCATTCTACCACGAAAACCTACGTGACAATTGACAATTGTTCATAAACCATATACCAGAAAAAAGTGTATTTAATGTGATGGAATCACAACTTTCACGAGTTATATATCTATACACACATCCAGTAACGTTTATATAAACAAACTGATATTGAACAAAATAAATCAAGCACCACCAGGTGGCAGGGAAGAGAAAAAGTACTGTGCTACATACATTATTTGTCGGTTTGAACTCTGAAAATTAAAAACTAAAACGAACCTTGAAGCAGAAAGTTAACTAGGCATGAAACAAACAATATTATGGAATTTTAAGGAAATTTTATTTTCCCTTTTGCTGAAAATATTTATGTTCATTGCTAGTGCTATTTGATTCCAGTGCAGCAAAAGAGATCAGTGTTTGGCCTTTGGCTTCTTCACGATGATGACAGTGCAGTGTGCATGATGAGCACAATAGTCACTTACACTGCCCAAAACCGCCCTGCAAAGTTAAATCAAATCTGAATTAAGATATTTTGAAGTGTAGACACATGTGGCATTCTCCACCATTAATGTGTGAATAAGAACAGTGTTGCCGTGAATTGAGTGAGAATGATTATTGTAGATAACTGGTAAGATGAGCTTAACAAATTTCCAAGCTGGATTCTGCAGGAAAAAAACAAACAAAAAAACAAAGGAGCAGATGGAGCAGCCTATGCTTTGCCCGGATTTAAGGTGTGGTAATTGATTGGTGACAAATATCTCACTCGTTTTGTTCGAAGATTTTGATTTGTAGTGATGTTGGTTCATTTCAGAATGCCAGAAAAACACAATCTGGTATATTCATGGTATTATATCTTACCCCATTAACAACTTTTTCACACGTGAACTATACCATTGCAAAGCAATATCTGGGATCAAAATGTACCTTTTTAGAGCCCCATAACCATGACTACCCACAACCAACATTGAAGCATGGTGCCTTTCCACAGCTTCACAAAGAACATTTCTAGGATCACCTTCCACCACTTCCATTGCTACGTCCTTTACCTGTTTAAATTAGCCATCGGATAAATTGCAAAGGTATACACAGCCGCACACAAAAGATAGAATTTTGACTATCTTCAACATAGAAAAATGAAGTAAAATGATACAGCATCTTATCTACTCTGTAATTTCTTCTTTCTTTTCCCTCAAACTGGAAAATTTTAGAGGCAAACCGCATTTTCTTAGAAGGATATGGGTGAACTATTAGGCAATTTTCAGTAGTGTTTTTCATTTTTGATAATATTTTTATCACCTTTTTATGACAATTGAAGCCATTATTTAAAGAGTTATGATATTTCAAAAATATTCATTCAACAATTTATTTTTAGATTTTTATATTATTATTTATCTATCTTATTTTTTTAATCAATAAAAAAATTTAAGTTATTAATAAGATGTTTGTAAAAATGAGTTGAAAATATTTTTCTTTAATTAAAACCAATCAACCATGAGAAGCAATCCAATAACCCATACTGACAAAATACATAAATTATATAGTAGGTTAACCTTTTCCACAATCCAAAGAACTGGTGTATGCAATGTGCACAGATAAGGCTGAAAAGTATGCAGAGTTTGGAAATAAACTGAGCATAAAATTGATTAGCGTACAGATTTCTCCATGCATTGTTCTTTAGCATGATCAGTGATTCTGGCTGCTGTTCTCTTCAAATCCGCTTCGACAACAGGAAACAAGTCAGTGGCTCCTGCAAAACATCATGACAAAGTTGTTGGCAACACAAACAAAATACCATCACTGAAATATTTTTAAAAATGAAAAAGTTAAAGGATTTCAAAACATCTAAAAATACAATGAAATCAGTCACTAAAAAGTGGTATATATAGTTGTTCCTATTTAAGAGGAGTCAGCATCATTCCTATTCATCCCACTTTCTTGAAAGGAAAAAGGTAGTTTTTTTTAGTGTTATCAGTTTTATGAATAAAAATAAATATTTTTAAAAAGAAAGTTATTTATATAACTAATTCTAGAAGGTGTGAAATCATATTTTATGTGCTTGTACCGTAAAAAAAAAGTTATTAAACTGATAGAGTATTAAAAAAACTTTTTGTATTTTTAAGATCAACATTAGTGATCTTATGTTTTAATTTTTAGTATATATATTTAAACATAAAATATATATTTTGCTCTCATGCAATGCAAGTGTTATGAACATGTTATATTAATTATGAATCAACACCACGAACAAATAAAAAAACCTATTTGAAAATGAGAAAGTGATAAGAAGATAATTAACAAGAGTTATACCAGGGCCAACAAAACCGATCTTGGAGAAAGCAGAAGGTTTGGCATAAACAAGAACAAGCTTGAAGATAGAATTAAGTGCTGGGGATAGAAGGTGATCAAGAATCCATTCGAGAGCGTACTTGCTGAAATCACTGTCGTCGATTCCAGCCACAATCACCGGCTTCTCTGACCCACTCGTGGCCATGGATCCAATTCTATTGTTGCAGCAAGCACTGTGTTTTGAGTTTATAATGGGAGTGAGTTACTTACGTGCAACACTACTTCACTTTGCAAGAAAAAGACCATATGGCTTTATGCCCTGGAATGTATGAATTTCTTAAAAAAAGAGTAGAAGAAGAGGAGCATTTGAATTGAGTTCGTGGGCCAAAAGAGAACAACATCGTACTGTTCGGGATTCTGTTCTATTCTATCTCGTTCTAGACTTCACTACTAGGTGAATGGATCTGCGCAATGGAGCACTTTTAACCTAAACCAACCACGTAATTTTACTTCTATTTTAGGCCGAATGAGTCTAAATCCATTAACCATGCACGATTCGTGGCAAGTTCTAGTTGTTTCCATTAACATTCCTCTTTGTCAAAAAACAAAGATTTGGAGGACAATTTTACAATGTTTCTATTAGTATTATTCACTCTGACATGTGCTTAGGGTTTAGGATTATAAATGTTTTAATCAGTAAAACTAAACTTATGGTAAAGAAAATTAGATTTAAATAAAGATAAATATTTATTTATTCTATCTAAGATTATTTTATTTTTTATATTTTATGATATAAAATAATAATTTAAATAAATTATGAAGATAAAAATCAAATTTCTAATTTTTATTTTTAAAATGAATATCTGTTCTTAAATAAAATATACCATGTACCTACATTTCGAACATGTCTTTCTTGAGTGGATTATACTCTCTGCCAAATTTTAATCATTATAAATAAATAAAGAAATGATTCCTCTAGAATTTCAGGTTCATGATACATCAATCAACATCAATCAAAGAAACACATTGATTAATAGATAGATATATCCCCAGTATGATACAGTGTTTTTAAAAGTAAAATATTAAATTAAATAATAATAATTTTATTTATGAAATATTGCTGCATGATATTCTTCTTCTATCAATACTTCTGGTCTAAGTGATTCTAGAAAATTGTCAAGGAAAAAAATAATAGTTGTTCAATTTTTTTTATTTCATGCATATGGAAATAAAATTCAAACTTGTAAATTTATGTAATGTCTATATATTTTTATTTTATTATTATTAGACCAATAATAATTCAAGTTTAAAGTAATACTATTGGGAAAAACTTGTACAACTTAAAATAATTGAGAAGTTAATGTAACACTTTCTTTTTTATTGGTTCAAATTTATTAAAAAATTTAAAAAAAATTAATAAGAAGTTTTTTTTTTCATAAAAAATTCACAAATCAAACAGTGGAAAAAAAAAAGTGTTTCTGACCTTTCATAAAATAAGTTGGATTGATTTAGAATGATCTAATTAAAGTGAAACAGTGGCCCAAGCAAAATTATCCATGAACCAAAAGGTGTGTTAGGCCCATTCTTTATGAATTTCTAATTTGGGATTATATCTCCATCTAGCTCACTTTTGTACTCAAAATAACCTTTCTTCTAATATCAATTATTTTTTCATATCATTAATCACCAATAATAATAAAATATATTTAACTAAAAAAATGTAATTTTGTTTCTAGAACGTTCCATTATTATTCGGTTCGTGATCTTTTTGTTATTTTCTTACACAAATCTTTTGGAGTGGTTGAACCGTTATGTTCTTGATCTTGAGAGGAATACCATAAAGAATATTTTGAAACTAAGTCAAGAAAGATTATGTGATACAATAAATAATAGAATAAAATATTAATACCTATTTTAAAAATATTACTATTTTCATATCTATTTTATTATCCACTCCATCCTCTTATAGTCTCCCATAATTTGAGATTTACTTAACTAACATTTTATATGCCCAGACCTTATTGGCAGTCAAAACTCAACTCATTAAAAGTGAAAAAATTCATTTTAAAAGAAAAAAAATTATTTTTTAATAGATATAAATTTAATAAAAATTATGTACAAAATTTTAGTGTAAATTAATATAATTATTATGTTTTCCTTACAAATTTCAGATTTTATACTAAAAAATATTATTGCTTTTGTAAGTTATTAAAAAAAAATATATAACAAATATTATTATCTTATACATCTCATCTTCAATTTAAGATTAAAACTCACATGAAAGGCATGAAGAAATGAGAAAAGCACTTAATTAATACCAAAGGACTCGAATATACAAATTATATATAGCAAATCAATGGGCTGTATTTGACTGAAAAAAGATTGTGACTTTTGCTAAAGTGGGTTGTTGTTATTGGAATTGCAGATAAGAACAATGAAGATATGAAGAAATGGAATATTTTATGATGTAAAAACTGATCTCATTCCACCATTAATAATGGTGAGAAAATTAGTCTCATATGTTGGTTTTTATTGGGAAGATAATGGAGAGTGCTGGACACCTATCAGTGATCCTTCCACTTTCTGTCCCTAAATGGTCAAAAGGCAATGATTTATTGTCCATTTTGGTTTATGAATAAAGGGTCACAAGTTCACAACCATAGCCATCCATTTAAAAGATCATAACAAGATGCACAAAAAGAAAGGATGATAACAATGATTTGATTGTATGCAAGAGTATAAAACAGTAAAAGATACGGATCAGTGTTGTTAAAAGTTGTCAACTTTGGAAAGAAACCTCTTATGATATATTCGTCATGGATACATTATAGATCTAGGTGAGTTCATTTGAAAACCATTCTTATAATTTTTCTATTTGGCGTAGGTAATAATTCGGCATGATAAAATATGTTAAATTTTACTTATCCGCTATAATATGATGATGAACAGATTGGTGTTTTCAACCTATTAGTATGTTAGGCTAGTTTATAGGATGGTGCAGGATAACTTGCTGTCAACCTAATTAATAAAAATATTATTTTTTATTATAATACAATTAGTAATAAAGATAATACATAAAATTTGTAAAAATAAAATTAAAAAAATTTCATTCTTATTTATTATAGGAAAATTCTCCTTATTTAAACACAAACTCCTGTCTCATCTTGTCTTTTGTTTATTATTTCCTCTTGTTCGTCATAGATGATTATTCTTATTCTCATTAATCAAGGGAAAAACAATATGAATTTTTATCAAATAAAAAAGTTATAATATAACTTTCCTTTTAAGTATTTGAATTTTTTAATATAAAAAATATAAATTTTATAAGTTTTAATATTATTTATATATTTATTATTATATAAATTTTATTATTATTCTAAATTATAATTTTTTAAAATAATATATTGATTTATATTATTAACTTAAAATATATGTTGAACTATTAATAAATAAATGATAATTTTATTATTAAATTTATTCAAAATTTTGATTAAAAATAAACTAATTATTTTTTTTTAAATTATGAAGAACCAATCCGTCATTAGGTGAGACGCATTAATATGTTATGATTATAATAGATCAGCTCCTCTCAACACGTTTTTTACAAACCAAAGATACAATGATTAAAAGGGGAAGAACTAGTCATAGATAAATTTTAGTGCCAATGTATTAAGAATAAAAAATTTATATAATTAATTCAAAATAAATTATTTTTCTCATACTATTAATAAAGTAATAACAATGTAAAAAATATGTAATAAATTTAGACATAAATTTTTGTTACAACTTTCTACGTTTAATTGTTCTTCTTTAAAATACTTACTATTAATCTAATGAATATTATTAATACAATCAATTTAATTATTGTATAACTGATAAAAAAAATAATTATTATATTTTGGTTTGAAATTACTATTATTCCTTACAATAAATAATTATTTTTTATCAGAAATAATTAATTGCATTAACCACATTAATGATAATTAAATTATTAGACTATATTTATGAACTTAAAATAATTTTATGGACTGGTAACTTTATAAATATAGTTCTATTAAATTTAAAGCAGTTAATTTCTTTTATTATATTTTTTTGTTAAATTGTTAGACTATATTTTTGAACTTGTTGACCCCATTATAAATAATAATAAAAGTCTTTTGATATGATAATTATAAGACATTGTAATGTTTTAATTTTAAAAGTTATACCTTAAAAAAATATTTTTATTATTATATTTATTTTTAGACTATATGACATTGTCTTTCTGAATTTACTTGAAAAAAAATAATAATAACATATGTGAAGTTTGGAATAATTAATAAGGTATTAAAAATATTAGTAACACACATACAAAAATATTTTTTAAAGACAAATAACATTTATAATTTATGTATTATTATTATTATTATGAATGATGATGTTGTGGTGTTGATAATGTTTATAATCCTTATAAAATTTTGATTGCATTAAGTCTCAAAAATATAATAATTATAAATAAATAATTGAAAAAGGTGTTTTCTTTAAATAAAATTTAACAGATTTAGTTTTTTTTTTAAAATAAAAAATAATAATATAAAAATATGTAATTAAAATATAAACGTGCAATAAAATGAAGTCTTAATATAGATGTTAAAAAGTTCGTGGTTAATATGTTGAGGTAAAGTTGACGACCACGGCGAAAAAAAGCTTTGTAGTTTGAAGGGGACTTCGTTGTATCGTAGACGCTACGTAACCGGTGTTCACTTTTACACACCAAAAGTGTAACGTTCGTGACCCTTTTTCTTGTTGCTGACCACGAGTCTTTCAACTTAAACTCCTGCGTTTGTTTTTGGGTTTAAATGCGTAGTCTTTGCTTTGTGGAAAGGTAACATTTCGTAGCAGGATTTCTCAAGCATTTGATAACCACAGCACACACCGATTCATGTCAATCACTTCCTATGCATGCCATCTTTAATCGTGTTTTAATTTTTGTATTAAGAATAACCAAATGTTTTCAAATATATTTATGTTTTAAATTGTGATTCAATTTCAACCCATTATCGAGTCCTTAATTTTCTCGCTGAAGTATTGGTTTATGCTAATTATGCATTAATGGTGAGAGTATCATCCGATATGTTGACTTTTTCACCGTGACAGAGTCAGAAGGTGTCGTTTTCTCAGATTATTGTGTTTCACACGTCAAACTGCTGGCATATGGCAACAGAGGGAAGTGTTCAAATATAATAAGGAGAGAGATGGTACAAACAAGCCAAATTTCGATCCTAACTCTTGAACCGAATCACATTCTTTCTCACACCCCTTCACTCCGTTCTGTCGTTTATTCATCACTGGGGAAACATGAAGTTCTGCAAAAAATACCAGGAATACATGCTAGGCCAAGAGAAGAAGCTTCCAGGCGTAGGATTCAAGAAGCTCAAGAAAATCTTGAAGAAGTGCAGGAAAAACTCTCCACCCCAGAAACCCCTTAATGCATCTCTTGCCACCAAAACCTGCCCCGACCATTGCCCAGGTATCGTTTTTTTGTTGTTGTTGTTGTCCTTTTTCTATTTCCTATGCTTCAACGTTTTGATTTTTACCATCCACCGGAGATAGAGTGGAAAAATGGAGGGAAAAAAAGGAGAGACTATTCTCTCTGTTTTCCTGCTCTATTAACCAATTCCAAAGCATTTTTGAATGAGGCCTAAGGGAACTTTTTGTCTTTATTATTGGGAGGATGTTTTAACTTTTATTGTTTGATGTATGCATTTTCATCTATGTATCCTGTAGCTAACTTGGTATAAGTATTCAGTGTGCGATGGAACCTTCTTCCCTTCCCTTCTCAATGAAATGTCAGTTGTAGTCGGGTGTTTTAATCAGCGTGCACAGAAATTGTTGGAGCTACATCTTGCTTCTGGCTTCAGAAAGTACTTTTTTTGGATCAAAGGCAAATTGCGAGGGAAACATACTGCTCTGATTCAAGAAGGCAAAGATCTTGTCATTTATGCTCTCATAAATGCCATTGCAATCCGAAAAATACTGAAGAAATATGATAAGGTATGGTAGGCTTATCTCTTATGCTTCCCCGAACAATATTTAACTAGAAAAGAACTTGGATATAGGTGTTGTTCTGTTCCATCAGAATTGGGGATTTCCACCACACAAGGGAATTTAAGGTCCGTGCTAAAATCAAGACTAATTATTATGGAAAAATTCTGATTTTGATTGAATAGAAGTTTCAAAATTAAGTAATCTAATCTGAATTTTTAAAAATCTGTTTTATTTGGTAGGAGTGCTAGCCGTAAGTTTAGTTCATTTTGGTGAAAATTTATGAGTTTTGTTGTATGTTCTTATTTCTACTGCTGTCACTGCAGATTCATTATTCCAAGCAAGGACAATTATTCAAGTCGCAGGTTCAGAGTATGCACAAGGAGATTCTTCAGAGTCCCTGGCTTTGTGAGCTTATGGCCTTCCACATCAATTTAAGGGAAACTAAGGTCAAGTCGCGGAAGGCACATGCTTTGTTCGATGGATGTTCTCTCACAATTAAGGATGGGAAACCATCGCTTACTTGTGGGCTCTTTGATTCTATCAAAGTGGACATTGACTTGACTTGTTCTATATGCTTGGTAAGTTTCTTAATATTAGTCATGGAAGAATTTAGTGTGTTATTTCTTGTGTATTTAAATATTTCTGTTGTGCGAATGCAAGAAAGGGATTGTTATGTTAAAGATTATTCATTAGAATTTTAAATTGAAATCAAATTCTGTTCCTACCAAAAGAATGAGTGATTATTGTTTAACTATTTTATTTGTATACGGTTTCATTTATCTTACATATATCAGTGATTTTCACTTTCCCGAATAAAAAATGCAACTTCAGAAAAAGATGGAGTAAATTGACAATATCAGTTTAGATTTCTCCAAGTGAAACAGTATGTTTCCCATGGGATTTGGAAAAGCATTTTCCTAGATTGTTCTTCATTTATCCACTGACATTGTTCATCTGGCTCCTGTTACAGGACACAGTGTTTGATCCAGTTTCTCTGACTTGTGGCCACATATTCTGCTATATTTGTGCTTGCTCGGCTGCATCAGTATCTATTGTTAACGGACTTAAGTCTGCAGACTCTAAAAGGAAGTGTCCTCTCTGCCGTAAGGTAAGCTTCCACAATCCAGATATGTGACATTTTTATTGCAATCTCTCCAACGACTTGATTACTGTAACGGGTGTGTAAAACAAGGGAAATTTAATTTTTAATTGATTCCATAACTTATTTCAAAAGATGTGAATAAATCATGTCAATAACTCATGTCTCTATTGGTCATTAAGAGTGTCCATCCGTCTCATGTTAATAACTTGTTCTCATGATGAGATCCAGATCAAACTCTAAGCTTCATTTAATGTTAACTTTGAAGAGCGTATTTTATATCAAACTTTGTAGAGCGTTCAAGCACTATAACCAGTTTTACGGTCTAATATTAAGATCTTCCAATAGGCTAAACTCAAGTTTATGCATCCCCTCTTCCGATCTTGTCCTTGGTTATTTAAATCATGAGATAAGTTATAAATAGGAGTTTAAAGGAAGCTTTGTTCACTTGTTTTAGACACACTAGTTCTGAACAACTATAGGGATTTTAAGAATTCGCTACTAAAATCATTTTATTTCTATTTTTTTTTTCTGGATATGAACCAATTTAAACAATTGGCTACTTATGCTTAGTTCTACTATTGTTTATCGCAGGGCGCAGTATATAAAGGTGCTGTGCACTTGGAAGAACTAAATATTTTGTTAGGCAGAAGGTATGGTCCTATCTATTCAATTATTTGGGGGCTTAGTACATAACTGGTAAAGAAAGAGATGGGTGTTATTTGAAAATGTTTTTATATCATCTTGTTTCTGCTAAATCCTTAATCATTACTAATTTCAATCCTGTTACAGCTGTCAGGAATACTGGGAGCAGAGGCTTCGGACAGAGAGAGTGGAGAGGATTAAGCAAATAAAGGAACACTGGAATTCACAGTGTAGGGCATTTGTGGGCGTCTAAGTACAGCATGCAATTTTCTTAATTTCTTTTGTAGAGTGTAAGCTTTGTAGTTATAATCTGAATTGCAGATATGCATCTGTTTGTTGTTATGCTTGTAACACTGTGAATAAGGTGAAGCTACTTTTAAATTGTGCATAAGTTTGTTGGTGGCAATGTTCTACTTCTTGCCTGACTGACTTATATAGTAAGGGATTCTATTTAAGACATGAGTGGTGGTGTTGGTGTATTAAGAGACTTATCTGTCTGCCACTCAAACTCATAAACCCATACAAGTTATCTTAACCAATAGAGAAATAGTTAAGGGAATTGTCACCGATTCTTCCAAAAATGGAATGAGTTTTCCTGTCTATGAAAATGGGTTGGAAAGCCTACTCATTTCATCAACCCCATAGTATACTATTTTGAGATGTTATATTATTTTCTAGTGAATTTTTTCATGCTTGGTAAGTAATAAAATTTCTCAACTTCAATTTCACAATCTCTTTTGAGAACTTCATCAACCTCGTTCTCTATATATTGGGATGATAGGTTTCTGGGTTTAGAAAAAATATTTTTGAAAGATAAGAGATATATAATGAGGTTTTATACTATTTTATTTTATTCATATAGGATAAAAATATAATAAAATATTGAATATTATTTATAAATTAATCTTAATTATCTAACTTAAAATAACAATCTATTTTACTTATCTTTTTATCTAAACAATATTTTAAATAACTGAAACATAAGAAAATTATTCTTATGACTAATTTAAATAATAGATAATTAATAATTTTCAATATATACTTTTTCTTTAAACGGAAGATCATGTTAAAAAAAAATCCTTTTTTTAATCCCAGCTAAAGATTTAACTTAAAAATTGCTCTTCGTTTTGATGGGTTATCATTGAAAATGAAAAAAATAAAATAAAATAGAAAATTATATAATAAAAGGAATTAAAAGTGACAAAGATGAGAGGTGATCAAAGTGTGAATCATAGAAGGAATTAATTAATAACGAGTGATTGAATAAAAAATATAATGCGTATAGAATTTTAGATTATTGGGGTTTTGAGACTTAAAATTACGATAGTGATCAGTTTTTCTAAAACAAAAAAAAATGATTATGATATAAAATAATTTACTTATAACTACTAGAGATTTAAAAAAATCAATTTATGTTTGTTTATAATTTTTTTTTAAAGTAACTGGTTTTGAATTTGATCCTTTTGAAATGTGATAAATGCCTTTTAAAAAATAAAGCTATAAATTATAAAAAGTGATGATTTTATTAGACAAGTATTTTATTTATGAAAATTTAAACGGTTATTTTTATTCAAAAAGTGATGATTATAATTTTAACCTTTTTTAAACTTCATTTTTCTTTTTCTTAGAGGAATGAAATCCAATTTTATGAAAAATCGTTTCAAATAAATTCTATATATATAATTAGATTCCTTCTTTTTCATTATTTTGAAAACTTGTAACAAACATGTAAAATGAAAAAAAAAATGGATAAAAAAAGAGGTGATTATTAGTGATAAATGCTTAAATTAATGAATTGACTATTTGTTCTAAACCTTTTTTTACTTCCACATTTTAAAAGTGAAAGTTCAATTAAATAGTAGTGGCTAGTTAATTTTTTATTGACATATTATCTCCTTTAAAGTATAGGCTTTTCTAATAAATTTTTGAAGCTTTTGTTTATTAATATATATTCTTCTTTTAAGAGTTTATATTTCTTCAAAGTTGTATTTATCCCAAATTTTCCATTCCGAAGAAATAATTTACTGACTAATTAAATATTATCAAAACTTACGCCAAATTTCCTGAACACATATTTACTTGAATAATTATTATATATATATATATATATATTTTTTTTTAGTTTTTAATTTAGAATAATGAATTGAAGTTTTCACAGAAGTTTATTAAAAATAAAACTACAAGGAGGAGAGGCATAGAAACCCTAATTGAAAAGCAAGTAATTTTATGCAAACTAGACCTGGTTTATTTTAAATTAAGTCGGTAATAATTTTGTTTATTTTTGGGTACATTCTACGTTGTAACTCCATTATTTCTTTCATATCCTTAATAATATTATAAACAAAATAAATGCCTGACATTTTATTTTATAAATTTAACAAGTTATCAATTTCAAAAGCAAAAAAATGTAAAATTTTCAATTTAAAGAAACAGTATTCCTTAAAAAATAAAAATGAAAATTAATATATATTTAAAAATTAAAAAAAGTAAAAATGTAATTTTATTTATAAATATATATATATATATATATATATATATATATATATATTTCTTTAAAATATGAAGATAATTTAACAAGAACCTTAATAACCCATTACTGTAACTTTTAAATCCAAGACCTAGAAATGAATAACTACACTGATGTCCACATTTTCAAGTCAAATAAGAAATCTTCCTTTTTGTGCATGCATGCTGAGAATATTCTTTCTGCCTTTTGCACCACAAGTTTCGTCACTTGGAAATTTGAAGGCTTGAATGGGATTATAAAATAATTTAAGAAAAGTTACTACAAAATTATGTTATTTTTGGTTCATGAAATATCAAGAGAAATTTTAAATTCTCTTCCTCTATTTTTTTGTACAGTGTATAAGTATCTTGAGAAAATATTTGTCCCACTAATATCAAATTGGTATAAAAGCAGCTTAGATCCAGTATTAGTTTTGTGAGTTTGTGAGAGAGTCAGTAAAAAAATATACTAAGTGTGTGAGGACTCTTAACAAAAATTTTGTAGTCTATTTGAGAAAGAGAGAGATGACCACAAATTACAATATTATTTGATCTGGTCCCAAATTAGATGAAAAAATGGATTACAATTCCTGGAAGTTGTTGATGTCCACCCATTTGAAAGCTCATAATATTTAGAGCTTTATTGAACCAGACTTAATGTAGAAAATCAAAGGAAGGGGGAGTTGACGCTATCACAAATTTAATAAGGAATAGATCATTTAATTTTTGGCAAAATTGCAAACTGCAAGACTGCCAAAGATGTGTGAGATACCTTGAAGTTATCATATAAAGGAGTAGAGAAAACTCAAAAATTCAAACTGCAGTCCTTACAAAGAGAATATGAAAGGTATGATATGTCCAGTTCAAAAATTGTTCAACAATATTTTCACGTATCACTAATCTTGTCAATAAGATGCGAGTATATGAAGAAGATATTTCTAAAAGCAAGGTGGTTGAAAAAATTCTACGCACCATGTTGATGAAGTTTGATCATGTGGTGATTACAATAATAGAGTCCCACGACACAAACACCATGACATTTGCAGAATTGCAAGGAAACATTGAAAGTCATGTGAGCATAATATTAGAGAAAACAGAAAAAGGAGTTGAAGAAGCATTGAAAAGTCAAGTGAATTTCAATAAAGTTGCAGAGTCCAGTCAAGATGCAGAAAATAGAGGTCGTGATAATCTCAATAATAGAGGAAGAGGAAATTTCAAAAATAGGGGTTGTGGAAATTTTAGAGGTAGAGGTCGTGGTAATTTTAATTAGTGGAGAAACAACAAATTCAGACCAAACAATCAAGGAAGAGATGAAGATAATTTTGTACCTGCCAATCGAGGAAGAGGAAGAGGTGACTATCGAAAAAGAAGTAATTTTAATTACTTCTACTGTGGAAAATTTGGCCACAGAATAACATATTGCAAATTCCAACAGCAAGCAAACATTGCGTAAAATTAGTACCAGGATGTTGGTGAGAATTCTAATATTGGGTGTAGTAATCATACGTGTGGAAAAAATGAATTATTTTCTTTGCTAGATGAAACAATTACTTCAACTGTTAAGTTTGGCAATAGCAACAATATTTCAATTTTGGGAAAAAGCCAAATCATGATTAGATTAAAAGATGGTTTACAAAATTTCATTTGTGATATTTTTTATGCTCCTGGTCTTCATCATAATTTATTAAGCATAGGACAACTATCAAAAAAATGATACAACATGCAGAATCATCATGGGAACTGCACGTTGATTGACAATATTGGGAGATTTATATCCAAGGTAAAAATGACTCTGAATCACTTATTCCTTTTGAAATTTCAACATGAAAAATATCCTTTTTTAAGTTCACTTCTCATTTTTGATGGAAATATTTTTGCAAAATTTTTGTAAAAATTACAAGAAATAAGTTTTCTATAAATTTAAACAATTTTTTACAAGAAAATTGGCAGAAAAAAAAACTAGTTTTTTAGTAGTGGTTCTATCATACCAAATGATGATTGGTTGTGGCATATGCGCTTTGGACACTTTCATTTTTCTGGATTAAATTATCTGTCAAAGAAAGAATATGTTTCCGGTTTGCCTGTTATAAATATTCCCAATAGTGTGTGTGAGATTTGTCAATTGGGAAAGAAGCACAGAGAATCATTTCCTACAGGAAAGACATGGAGAGCGAGAAAGTCACTGGAGATTGTTCATTCAGATTATGCACAATTGAAATCCCAACAAATGACGGTAGTAAGTACTTTATTACCTATCCTGTAGAAAATGATTCTCTGTGCTTCTTTCTCAATTGACAAATCTCACACACATTATTTGTTGAGAATATTACTTTATTATCTTTTATTTAAATTAGGTATTAAGAGATTTTATTATCTTTTAAGAGAGAAGGTAAAAAGACATTAGGTTATTATTTTGATTTAGGCAGTTATGATTGAAATATTATTGATATTTGATATTTTGTAATATTTTTACTTTATATATACATAGAGTACATGAATAGAAATATACCCACATGATATATCAGAAATACATATACATAAAACCCTACAAATTCTCAACAAATTGGTATCTGAGCTTTGGTTCGACACAATGGAAGGAGAAAGAAATTTTTCACAGCTATTTCAGTTTTTGATGGCGAAAGTTATGACTTATGGGCTCTAAGAATGCAATCATATCTTGAAAGATTGGATGTATGAAAAGCTGTAGAAGAAGATTATATTGTTGATCCACTGCCTGAAAATCCCATC